TCTAGAATCGTCCCAAGATTCCAAATTTTCATTTCCGAAAATCGTAGCTGATTCTTTTTTCGAAAAAAACCTAATATATGGGCAATTCCACGTGAGATTTTAGTCGACCTCTTAAAATCGGCCAAAAATATTTTTTTTCTATTCTGTATCGAAAAAAATAGATATATATATCTGTTTTTTATTTTTGTTTAATTGTCCAAATTTTCAAGATATGAATTTTCAAAATTTTGGACTTGTAATTGTAGACCTATATTCAGTAGCTTATAAGTTTGAAAATATTAAGTTTAAGAAAAAGTTGTCAAAGAATGAAAGTTTTAGTTTTCTTTCGACTTTTAAGAAATGTAAACAAATAATTTTTTTAAATTTATTTATTAAAAAAAATTTTTTTTTAATTTTTTAAAAAAATTTTTTATTAAAATATTTTTATTTTTTTATAAACAAATGAATTATTTTAACTTTGAGCCGAATCTTTTTTTATTTTTTTTTAAATTTATTTATACCTTATAATATAGAGGAGATTTTCCAAAAAGTCCCGAAATGGGCCTGATGTGTTAAATAAGTTTTAAAACATTTTCAAAAATCACATGCAGGCATTACAGTGGGATTTTTTTACAATTAACTTTTTAAAACTGTCTACAGCGTATAATTTTTAATCTATTTGAGTGTTCTTTGTTTTAAATTAAACGGTCTACGCTGTAGACAGTTTTAAAAAGTTAATTGTAAAAAAATCTCACTGTGATGTTTGCAAGTGATTTTTGAAAATGTTTTAAAACTTATTTAACACATCAGGCCCATATCGGGATTTTTCGGAAAATCTTCTCTATATTATAAGAAATAAATAAATTTCAAAAAAATAAAAAAAATCCGGCCCAAAGTTAAAAAAAATTAATTTGTTTATAAAAAAAAATTTTTTTTAATTTTTTGTTTACATTTTTTAAAAGTCGAAAGAAAACTAAAACTTTCATTCTTTGGCAACTTTTTCCTAAACTCAATATTTTCGGACTTATAAGCTACTGAATATAGGTCTACAATTAGTATTTAGTATTTAGTATTTATTTACACTTGTCTATCTCGTTACATGAGTACAAGCGGAGAATCGCTATCGCAAGAGACTGCAACTAAGTTTTACACATACAATTACATACATATATATTACATACAATACAATTACAATCATAACAAAATTAGTAACCAAAATAAGTAAATATAAGCGATACAACATCTTAATTCTCTAACAATCCATGATTATATCGCTCGTGTAACAGTTGGCTAATTAATTTTACAAAAGATTTGACCGTTTTTGTTTCCGAAGAATTCAAGATTGCAAGCCATCTTTCCACTGGGTCAGAACTAGAGCAAATTTCAGGGAAGGCAGCCGCACACAAATGAGTACAAGCCGGGCAATTAGAAAGAATGTGAAAAAGACTCTCGTCTTCTTGATGGCAGAAAGAACAGTCCTTGCTATCACCAAACCTGTACACAACCTTTCCCAGACATATCCTACAAACATATTTGTTTAATAATCTTATCTGTGAAAAAATTCTTTTTGTTTGTAAATGAAATCGTGAAATCAAATAAGGTTGCGGGCCCCGGCTAATAGAGAGATAGGGATATATTAAAAGACTCTTGGACCTCGAAAGTCTCTCCAAATCAAGAGCTCTTAAAGAAAGTTTATATTTCTCCAGGATAATATCTTTATTCTTCGCGATGAGGTCCAGGGATAAGGGTGTTTGACCGACATTCAAGCTATTCATATCAAAGGCGTCCTCCAACTGCAGCAGCCAGTTAGATCGATATTCCGGCCTCCTAATCGCAAGTCGCATTAGTCCCTCGAAACACTGTCTGGGATACCTTGAAGTGTCCATCTTTGAAATTTTACAAATCCAGTTCAGTGTATTCGAGAGAACACCATACGAAAGACGAAGAGAGCCCGTCTCCAATCTGACTGCGTAATTCGAAGTATTATTTGGCAACAAGAGAAGCCTCTTAAAAAAAGAAAGCTGAACTTTTTCGATGTCATTTAGATGGTAGGGGCCCCACACCTCAATCCCATAGCGCAAAATACTAACCGAGAGACTTTGAAAAAGTTTCTCGTAAGAGGCCCAAGAGTCAGCCTCCGTGCGGTAAATTATGCTCATAATTCCTCCCACTGCTGAATTTGCAGCATCCATTGCCTTATTAGCAGCAGGAAGAAAAGAACCCGTGTCCGAAAAAGGTATGCCCAAGTAGGTGTATTGTCTCACCACCTCAATAGTCTCTTTTCCAAATTTAAACGACTTAAATTTTTTTGCAGATGCCCTCCCTGAATTAGCAAAAATAACAATATTTGATTTTTTCACATTAACAATGAGGCAGTTTTCGTGACAGTATGAATGTAAGGCTTTTAATTTTCTATTCACTTCGAGCGGTGAATCTGAAAGATATACAAAATCATCAGCATAGCCAAAATCGATTATCTCATTCTCACTCGAAACAGAAATACCCCTACAATCATTCTCCAATAAATATTTTTCCATATCACAAATGAAGAGATTGAACAGATGTGGGCTTAGCACTTCGCCTTGTAGGACCCCCGAAGTGACCTTGACATATTCAGTGTAACCTTCCTGGGTCTTAATGCATGTAAAAGAAAACTCATAAAAACTTTTAATAATTCTAATTAATTTAGAACTTAAACCCAACCTATGCAATTTAATCCATAAGAGATTGTGGTTTACTGATGGAAAGGCCCCCTTAAAATCGATGAAAGTGGCAAATACAGCGGTCCCCGGTTTATTTAAGTGCAATTGTATAGCAGCGTGCAAGGAAAAAAGATTATCCAGGCAGCTTCGGCCTTTTCTGAAGCCTGATTGCGATTCCGGTATTAATTTTAAATCATCAGCCCACGCAACCAAACGACTACAGATAACCTGTGTGAATATTTTAGCAATTGTGTTGATCAATGTTATCTGTCTGTAATTTTCCGGCAACCCCGCATCCCCCTTTTTAAATAACATAGTAGTTACTAATTTACCCCAATCCTGAGGAACTGACTCTTTATCATAAATTTTATTAAAAAATCGTTCCAAATACAAAAGCCAGTTTTGCGGAAGCTGCTTATAAAATTCATAACCGATTCCATCGATTCCGGGGGTCTTTCCACTTTTACAATTTAAAATGCTTCGAATTATTTCTTCAACAGTGATACAGCTATCCAGAATAGGGTGATTTATATTTAAAAACAAATTGCTTATCGGCGAAATTGTAGAGTTTACAACAAAAAATGACTGAAGAAAGCCCTGCCAAGTGGTTAAGTCAATACGTGATTTTTGACAAGAGCGCACTCTAACTGAATTAACCACAGACCAAAACTGGTTTTGCTGTTTACAGCAAGCGATTCTATTAATTATTGATTTTTGATAATTCTCTTTTTTAACTTTTAACACATTTCTTAAGACTGACTTTGCATGCAACAACTCACACTTTGATTCTTTGGAGAAAGCATTTGCTTTTGCACATTTTATCGCTAACGAGACTTGTTTTTTAGCTAAATTACAATCATTATCCATCCAAGGTTTTCGTTCAATTTTTTTTTTAAATTTGAAATACACCGTAACATGCCAAGCTCGTCAGCGACCGAAACTATACTGGAGGTGAGCGTGTCGTTCATACCATCCACATCTTGGTCCAAGTATCCCACCTCCCCTCTCCATGCCATCAAAGAGTTAAATTGCTCTACTTTATTTTCATCAAAAAATAGTCTCTTATTATTTATATTTGTGTTCTTTGTTTCAACTGTCATGTCTGAGGAGTTAAAAAACAGAACTATTGGAAGATGATCTGATAGAGAAGGGAGGTTTAAGACCTTGAGGTCACGAAACAAGGATATTCCACTGTGCGAACACCATACCAAATCCACGACACTCATTCCCTGTGCACCCACAAATGAAAAATTTGCCGGAGTGTCACTGACAGAACGGCCATTTAAAACTATCAAATTGCAGGACTCAAGCAACTCCACCAGACATTTTCCCTTAAAACTAGTACGGCAATCATGAGAGGATCTTTCGGGACTAAAAAAATACGGTTGACTAAAATATGACGGGTCAACTTGATTTAACGATGCGATTCTGCAATTAAAATCTCCTCCCACAATTAATGGTAAATTGAAGTAGTTCTCAGCAATAGAATTTAAAATTAACCCCAAATTGTCAAAAATCTCCAAAAATTTATCATCTGGAGGATAGTAAACGAGTCCCAAAATAAAAGTTACTGATGGGGATTTAATTTTCACAAAAATATGACTTACTAGGTCTACAATTACAAGTCCAAAATTTCGAAAATTCATAACTAGAAAATTTAGACAATTAAACAAAAATAAAAAAATACGTATCTGTTTTTTTTCGATACAGAATAGAAAAAAAATATTTTTGTACGATTTTAAGAGGTCGACTAAAATCTCACGTGGAATTGTCCATATATTATGTTTTTTTCGAAAAAAGAATCAGCTACGATTTTCGGAAATGAAAATTTGGAATCTTGGGACGATTCCAGATAAAACTGCTTTAGCACAATTTTGGCTCATTTTAGGTAAACCTAAAAGTGCTTGAAGACCACTGTGATCAGTCTATGTTAATTGAAATAAACCTACTGAAAAAACTAAATTTTTTCTTTACTAGTAAATAACCCAGACATCCAACTATAGTTGAAAACTTCTTTGGATCGAAATCTGTGAAGTAGGATCTCCTGGTTTAAAATTCTTGAATATATGAAAAAAAATTCTTGATTAAAAAAAAATGAAAAAAAAATAAACTGGAAAAAGAAAAAGCCCTATTTAAATAAAGTAAGGGATGTACTCCCTTAATGAAACACGAAATTCGTCTGAAGGACCATACACCAATCAAACAGCGGTTGGTTAATAATTAATCAAAATTACTTTTATGGTCGAAAATTAAAAATACTAATTAATTGTAACATATCGATAAACTGCAATACTCATCGTAGAGAATAATTCACTTCGCTTCGGAAAAATAATTTTATTAAGACGTACAAAGACATTTATAAGTTTAAACATGTTAAAATATACGATGTACGTGCAACACATAAAGACACATTGCATGTACTCTTTTCAACGTATACACATTTGAAATTACTCTGGCTTCTGCACTATATAATTTATATATAATAAATTTATAACCTTAATTACTATCATTTTTGTAACAAAAAAATTTGCAGACTTAGTTAAAAGAGTTTTATTATATTATTAAGTGTATTATAATTGATTTCTGCAAATGATATAATAAAAATTGATTTTTAAATTACTTGAATAAATTTATTTATTAAATTCGAGACACTTTTGTGCGCAGCACAATTGTAAACTTTTTTTGATTTGCAAATAATCAATTTGTACAAAATTACAATAAACGTAAAATTTGTAATCGTAATCCCTTGATAATAATTAAAATCTTATATAAAATTTAAAAGACAATTACGTTTCAGACCTTTCTTATCTTATTACAATTTAATAATCTTCAGATGCAAAACAATTGCTGTTGATTTTACATTTCGTTTTGTATGGAGTATCTCTATTCGGCGATAAACAGGTACATCTTTTACAAAAATCCCAAGGCACAGAAATATTATTCTGATGGAGATAAAAAATTTTCTTTTCAAATTATAAATCGAATACTTTTAATAACAATTCTGTTGTCTTTCAAAATATAAATTTTTAACACGACAAAGTGAATTGATATAGACGGATTAGCCTGTTAATAATTTCTCGTTAGAAATTTAACAGTTAATGGTTGCTTCTTAAACTCTATATCCTCTGCGCTCATCATTACGTATTGCATTAGCCAGGCACAGGGAGAAGATAATTCCAAGTAACTGAAATAAAAAGAGGTCATGTTATATTCTCAAAGAATTTAATTAAAGAAAAATAGAATCAAATAAAAGACAGAAAAAGAGTATAGAAGGCTGATTCTATTTCAATTCATGTAGAGCGAATAGGTTAAAAATTCTAAATCAAGTTAAAGGTAATTTTTCTTGTTTTTTAAGACAAATAAAGAGACACGTATTTTTTTATTTAGCGAAAAAAAATTTTTTAGCTGAGTTATGAGTGTTTGAAAATTTTAGGACATATCGTGATTTTAGAGCTAAACAGCTGACAAATTATTTTCAAATCTTTCTAGTTTTTGCAAAAATAAATATTTTTCAATTTTTTTTCTTGATTTTAGTAGTGTTTTTGATACTTTTTCTTTGCAAACTTGAAAATTTGAAAAATTTTGAAAATTAACAAAATGGCGGCCATTTTCCGAAAAATCAAAAAAGTCCATTTTCTCATAAACATCATTTTTTATTTTTCTTAAAATTTTTGTGTGATTACTAGATGAAGAAGGAACTAATTTTAAAAGGTTTCATGTATCCTAAAACTGTTTGGAAGTCGCAATAATTTTTTCAGAAAATAAAAAATCTCTTTATTTTCTCTCTAAATCTGAATCAGTGAAATTCCACTGAAAAGCAGTGAAATTTGACTGAGAATCAGTGACTCTATTCTCGCGATTTGAATCAGTGGAATTTCACTGAAAATCAGTTAAAAATAACTGAAATTTCAGTTATTTTTAACTGATATTAAAAATTTCAGTTATTCTTTAATTGGCTTATCAGTGAAAAATGACAAAAATTTCAATCATTTTTAACTGATCTTCAGTGAAATTTGACTGATTCAAATCGCGAGAATAGACAATAGAGTCAGTGATTCTCAGTCAAATTTAACTGATTCAGTTTTAGAGAGTTGATACGAGTATAAATCTATCGGCATATATATATTTATTGCATGTTTATATGTTTTTCGATTATTAGTAGTGTTTTTGGTACTTTTTATTTGCAAACTTAAAAATTTTTAAAATTAACAAAATGGCGACCGTTAAATTTTTTTGGTCGACATTTTGAATTATAAAATTTTAACCAAATATTCTAACTCAGCGACCCCAAAAACCTCCAAATGAATATTTTTATTCAATTATTTTTAGTATTTTTAGTTTTCGATTTTTTGAAAAATGGCCGCCATTTTGTTAATTTTCAAAATTTTCAAGTTTGCAAATAAAAAGTAGGTACCAAAAACAATACTAATCATCGAAAAACATAAACATGCAAAATATATATATGTCGATACATTACTCAAAATAATGAGATTGGTTATTTTCTGAAAAAAATTATTGCGACTTCCAAACAGTTTTAGCGGACATGAAACCTTTTAAAATTAATTCCTTTCTTCATATGGTAATCACACAAAAATTTTAAGAAAAATAAAAAATGATGTTTTTGAGAAAATGGACTTTTTTGATTTTTCGGAAAATGGCCGCCATTTTGTTAATTTTCCAAATTTTTCAAATTTTCAAGTTTGCAAAGAAAAAGTATCAAAAACACTACTAAAATCAAGAAAAAAAAATTAAAAAATATTTATTTTCGCAAAAATTAGAAAGATTTGAAAATAATTTGTCAGCTGTTCAGCTATAAAATCACGATATGTCTTAAAATTTTGAAACACTTATAATTCAGCTAAAAAATTTTTTTTCGCTAAATAAAAAAATACGTGTCTCTTTATTTGTCCTAAAGAACAAGAAAAATTACCTTTAACTTGATTTTAACCTATTCGCCCTGCATGAATTGAGATAGAATCAGCCAGAAATTTTTGTATTTATTTTAAAAATGCTTTGCTTCCTTATAGAGAGTTTCTTTTTATAAATATTGTAAATATCATTATTATCATACATTATTAGATTACCTTGTAAGAATCATTATGTTTTTAAGAATTCTGAAAATTGTAAATATCTGTAATTTTCAATTCGAAATCGTATAAAGTTCAAAAATAGTTACTTTTTCTGCCTCTAGAGTAATGTTACCTCAAGCAACAACGGAAATTATTAAAGTTGACATTATTTTGTTGTTTGCATGAAAATAACAACATAAATTCAAAAAAGTAATTTAAAATTTATTTCTTAGTATTTAAAATAAAAGAACATAGAAATCCATTAAAAACTGTGGGTAGTTAACTTTTTTGAACGCTAAATTTCAGATTCTGAGGGTAGATGACAGAAAGTGCACATTTTAAGTGTTAATTCAAAACTTCATGAAAGTCTCTAGCACAACAGGTTAAAAAAATATCTTAGAAACTCCGAATGACTCTGAAGAGAATATTTCAGAAAATTTAAAAGCTCACCTCGGTCTCGCTTACTTATGAAAAGAATTAAGAATATTTTAAGAAAACATAGTATTTTATTGTACAATAAAACGGAAAACTTTACCTCCACAACAGCAACACCAACAGCAACACCTCCCAGAGTTTTCAATCCAGACCTTAATAGCTCTGAAACTTTTTTACTGCATCCTGCATTATAAACTTTGTTAGTTCCAGTGCATGTTTCATTAAGATCAATTCCACAACAAGACCCAGGAATTGGACGACCCATATTGGAATAATCATTTGAGCTTGTGATACCACAACAATTGAGCTAAAACAAAATTAACGAATGAGAAAAAATTTGTGAAGTATACTAGTCAAACAGTAAGATTTTACTAAAATCTTGTCAATGCTAGTGAAAATCTTTGTGTGTACGTCTGCATAAAAAAGGCCCACTCTGTTGATTTAATTTTGAGAGATAATAGAAATTGATTCATCCTTTACAAATTGCAATAATTTTTTTTATTTTCCAGTAAATAGTATGGTTTTTAAATATTTTTTAACCCTTTCATGACTCCGGGACACTTATGTCCCACTTAGAAAAATTTATGTTATTGTTATAAAAGTCAACCAATTAATTAGCAGTAAATTTCTTTCTAATCCGAATGACCGCTGCTACAATTAACAAACTAATAAATTACGTAGTAAGATTATAATTATCATAAACAATAGATAAAAATATTTATAAGAAAACAGCGAAATCTAATTTTTCAAATTTTTCTCTATTTAAAACTACTTACTCAGGGTTTTTCAAGTTCGCTGATTACGAATCTAAAGTCAGATTTTTAAAGTTTTCAAAATTCAAAATGGTGAACATTTTTTTTCACATCTGCTCAAATTCATTTGAAACTTATTATTTGGGGTTTTCGGGGTCAGCATTTTGAATTTTTTAAACCTGACATTAGATTCCTAATCAGTGACCTTAAAAACTCTCGAGTAACAAATTTTTATGTAAATTTGAGCAATTTTGAAAAAAATGTCCTCCATATTGGATCCGCCATTTTGAATTTTCAAAATTTTGAAAATCTGACTTCAGATTCGTAATCAGCGACCCCAAAAATCCCTGAGTAACAAGTTTCAACAAAATCCAATACTATAAATAAAATACCTTTTTTCTAAAATAAACGTAAAAATCAGAGTGAAATCTTCTATAGGTTTTGAGAAAATAACCAATTAACAACAGTGCACACCCAAATTTATTAAAAATTTATTAAAGGTTTGTGTTTGTGTAAATATAAAAATTTCTGCATTTGAGAAAATATTTAACACAAAAGTTGACTGAACACTTAAATTAAACCTTCGCTAAACAATTAACGAATATTTTATTTAATGTTTAGTCAACTTTTGCTTTAATTATTTTCTCATATTTACGGTCATTTTTATTTCTATACACAATCTTTATTTAGCTTTGCAATACTATATTCCAAAATTTAAACTTAAATCTTTAATAAATTTTCACAAAGTTGCAGAAGATGCTATTCTGATATTTGAGTCAATTACAAAAAAATGTAGACTTCCATTTAGGAAATCAAAACAACTTACTGTAGATTGCATAGTATCGACGATTTCCTTGGCTTTAGAATCCGAATAATACTTATCAAAGATTTCCTTCTTAAATGCTGTTTCAATTTTTGTTTCGTCTATTTTTTGTATGTAAACGTAAACGGCAATGGCGACTTGAATCACAAGAATAGTAAGTAAAAATACTGCAAACTGGAAAAGAAATTTTATCCATTAATCAGGTTTTAAAAATTTAAATTAGGTTTCAAAACCTGGCAAAATAATTCACTATAATAAATTTGAGATGCGAGTCGAAGAGAAACCTAACAAGAAAAAATAAAAAATAATTGTTTTTACAAAACAAATTATTTTGCTCTTGTTATAAACAATTTCAATTATTCAACTAGCATTATTTTTGTCTTGAATTCAAATTTTAAATTAAATTTTCTTTTTTTATAGGTTTCGAATTCTATTACGCAAAAAAATTGTTTATTTATAAGAAATGTGTAAAAAAAACACGTTACACATGAAATTTCGAGTTGAAAAAAATTCTACTTATTCTTTAAACTTTTTTGAATAATATTCCGAAGAGAAAAAAATGTCAAGGATTGAGAAGAACATAAAATAAAAATTTTTTGATACTGTGTTTGAAATAATGCACACGTAATACATTTATGTGCATTCGCAGAGAACAAAAGAATTCAGATAATAACCCTCTAAGAGAAAATAATATCGCAGCGCATGCGTATGTCTGTATTACGTGTGAATTATTTCGCACGCTGTATCAAAAAATTATTATTGGAACTATACTTCTCAATCCTATTTTTTTTTCTTTGCGAAATATTATTCAGAAAGGCTTAAAGCATAAGTAGAATTTTTTTCAACTCAAAATTTCATGGGTAAAGTAGTTTTTGATATATTTTTATAAGCAATTTTTTTGTTTATTAAAATTCAATATCTTTAAACAAAAAAATTTGAAATTTGGATTCAAGACATAAATAATGATAGTGGCACTTTAATAAATAATGTTGAACAAAAAGAAATATTAAATATATGGTTCAACAAAACTAAATCCAAAACATGAAGAAATCGATCACTCCGAGTCGAAGACTCGGAATGATCGATTTCTTCATGTTTTATAATAATTTAGATTATTATAAAATTTTTCAAAAAAATTTAATTATTTAAAAAAATTCTAATAAAATCCTTCGCAAGATTTCAATTATTTTTACAAGTAGTAAAATTTCTCAAATAATTCAATTATTTAAAAAAAAATGTAATAAAATTCGTTGCAAGAATTCAATTATTTTAATAAATAATAAATCGATTATTCGGAAATTCATTTTTAAATCAATTTTTATTAGAAAATTCTACAAAAATTCAAAAATAAATAATTTATTGAATAATTGAATTTTTGTGAAAATTGAATTCTCATAAAGAAGTTTATCAACAAATATTTAAATAATTGAATTGTTTTGACGAATTTTAATAAAATTTTAAAGAATAATCACATTTTTCAGGGAATTCGATTAAAATTGTATCAAAAATAATTAAAATCCTGCAATAAGTTTTATTATTTATAAAAATAATTGAATTATTGCGAAAAAATTTGTAAATATTTGAAATCATTTCTTCTGAAAAGAATTTTCTAACTCTTGAAAATAATTTTGTTCTCGTGATTAATATTGTTATTTATGAAAATAATTGAATTTTGCAAAGAATTTTAATAAAATTCTTAAAAATAATAATTGAATTTCTGGGAAGAATTTTGATATTTATCTAGATAATTGATTTCTATCTAAGAATTGCGTTAAAATTTTGAAAATAATAATAAATACAATATTAAAAAATTCAACTAATTTTAACAATGGAATCCATGTAAAAATTTTATTTATGAAAATATTTGAATTATTGAGAAGAAATTTATAAAAAAATTTGTTAATAATTGAATTCCTGTGCAATATTTATTATTTATGGAAATAATTAAATGTTTGCTTAGAATTTTATTAAGATTTTTTTTTCTAATAATTGAATTCTTTTGAAAAATTTTATTAAAATAGTAGATATTGAAAATCATTAAATTGAGGAAAATTTTTGAAAATACAGGCAAACCTCGCTACGGCGGACTTCTATACGGCGGAAACTCGCCAGGTAGAAATAGAAGGGATTCTATCAGTGAGAGTTGTGACTGTGTGAGTGCCATGAAATTCAGGGCCGAAAAGTTTCGAATTGTAATTTTTAGGGTTTCGTGGCCCATGGCCGAAAGCCTTATAGTTTCACTTTGGCGTCCGTCCGTCCGTCTGTCCGTCGTAATTTGGGGCACTATAGATCCCAAATTTGGGGCATTATAGATCCCAAATTTGGGGCACTATAGATCCCAAATTTGGGGCACTATAGATCCCAAATCAGTCAGTCAGTCTTAACCACAATGGTTTATGATAACCAAAACAGGATTTTCTTTTTAAATGCAACGAAACCCTAGATGTAGGCGTTTTGCGCCTGCTTCTCTTCCAATTTTATATGGATGTTTTTTTATTTAAATTATTTAATTTATAATTGATTTATAATTTTTGTTTATTTTGTGACATATTTTATATATTATAAAAAATAAACATGAACAATAATAAAATAAATAGAATAACAAATCAAAGTAATTTCTTAATAAATAATGATATTTAAAATTCATCGCAAAAATTAAATAACTTTTTATAAATAATAAAATTCTCCTGAGGAATTCAATTATTTTCAATACAATTTTAATAAACTTTAAAAATCAAATATTTAAAATTATTAACAGACACGATTATTTTAAAAAGTTGAAAAAATTCTTTGTATAATTCAATTACTTTCAAAATTTTCAATTATAACTATTAAAGAAACTCCATTATTTTAAAAAAGTTTAAAGATATTCTTCAAAAGAATTTAATTAAGATTTTTATAAATTTTAATTAAATTCGTCGCGAGAATTCGATTAATTTCATAAATAATAAAATTCTGCGAAGGAATTCAATTATTCTAAAATTCTTTGCAAGAATTCAATGATTTTTAATAAATATTTTTAAATAAGGTTATTAATAAATTATCATAACTTCTATTTCATATTTAAAGACCATATGATTTAAAATGGTTGATACATCCCTGAACGTTCACTCACTAATAGCATTTTAATGAACCTCTCTACGGCGGAATCGTTTAATTGCTTTCCGCCGTAGCGAGGTTTGCCTGTAATTAAAATTTTCCCAAGAATTTTATTAAAATTTTTAAAAATAATTGAATTTTGGAGAAGAATTTTATTATTTATAAAGATACTTGAAATTTTGACGAGAATTTTTAATAATTTTTTAACATTATTGAATTTTTGTGAAGAATTTTGTTTCTTTTGAAAATAATCGAATTTCTGGAATTATATTTGTAACTTTTTCAAAATTCAATTCTTTTAGTGTTTTTTTACTAAAATTCTTCTATAAATCCATCATTTTTAATAATTAATTAAATATGTATGAAAGAATGTAACTAATTTCAGAGAAACTTTAATTATTAAATTTTTTTTTAAAACTAAGTTTTTTAAAAAATGAACATTGTTTTTCGCCAAGTGGGATGATAGTTTAATGTAACGATAAGCAAAATAAATACAAAAAAGTAGTATTCAAATAAGTTCTTACAGTAACGACCATGCAATGACTGTCACGAATAGCTCCACAGCATCCAAAGAAGGCAATAACAAAAATTATTGCACCAATAACAAGTAAGAAAATAGGAATTGCAGGTGGAAAACCTTCATCTAACCGTGAAGAAACATCGTAGATTTTAATGTAGAAAATTGCGCCAACTGTAAGCAACGCCAATCCACAAATCTGGAAAAATTAAATTTTCGTTAATCAAAATACAATTATGAACTTAAATTTTAGAAGATAGTACTGTACATTTTTAAAAGCAACTTTTAATTTATTCACGAACTGTTCCTTTTTAAATAAATATTTAATTATTATTATTTTTCCACAGGAATTAAGATTTTTAAAAATGTCAAATTCAAACCTTTTTGAAATTAACTTATAAAAGTATTATCATTACTTTATATTAAGAATATTGTTACTGTAGCTTTTTAAAAATTATTTTTATAATTTCAATTCAATTATTATTTTCTAGAATTTTTAACTAAAATTCTGCTCTAAATCAACTATTTTTAATAATTTTTGAAAAAAATTCTTTGAGAATTTTCAAATACATTTGTTTAAAATTCAATTTTACGAAATTTCGATTATTCGGAAATTCTTCAATTAAATACACTGCAAGAAAAATTTTGGAAATTTTCCCAAAAAAATTTAGGAAGCAAATTCCACTAATTATTCAAAAAAAAATTTACTAACATATATAAGGGAATTTTTCTAAAAAATTATTGAAAACTTCCTATGAATTTAGAAACATTCTCATGAAATAGCCTGGAAAAAATTCAAAAAGATTGGAACAATTCTCTCAAACGTTTAGAAAAATTTCCTTATTAAAATATAGGATTTCTGATAAATTGGAAAAAATCCCATATTTGCAAAAATTTCCATGAAACTTCCATGTAACTTCAAACTATTTTTAAAAATAATTTAATTAAACTTTCTCAAAAAAATTAATTCTTCAAAATTGTTAGTTAAAAAGTATAGAAAATTCAGATTTTCAAATATTTTAATTTGAAACTTTTTGAAAATTATTCAATTATTTAAATACAAAAGTAAATTATTTTTTTGAATAACTAAATGTTTTTTTTAATTTAATTCTTATAAAAAATGTTATCAAAAAATTTTTAAATAATTGAATTCTTTTGACGAATTTTGATCAAATTTTTATAAGAATAATTACATTTTTCCAGGAGTTCGATTAAAATTGTACTAAAAATAATTAAAATTCTGCTATGATCTTTATTATTTATGAAAATAATTGAATTCTTAAAACAAATTTATTATTTATAAAAATAATTTTGAATTCATAAAAAAAATTTATTATTTACGCAATTATTTGAATTATTGAGAAGAAATTTATAAAAAATTTGTTAATAATAATTGAATTCCTGTGCAATTTTTATTAAGCTTATGAAAATAATTTGAAAATGTTTAAGTACAATTTTACTAAAAAATTGAATTTTTTTAGGAAATTTATTAAAATAGTAGATAATGAAAATCATTGAAATCAGGAAACTTTTAAAAATAATTGAATTTTAGAGAAGAGTTTTGTTATTTATAAAGATAATTGTGATTTTACGAGAATTTTTTTTTTAATTTTGAACATAATTGAACTTTTATAAAAAGAATTTTATTATTTTTGAAAATATAATTGAATTTCTGCAATCATTTGTAACTTCTCCAAAATTTAATTCTTTAAAATGCTTTTAACTAAAAATGTTTCTATAAATCTATTAATTTTAATAATTAATTAAATATATATTGACAAATTTAACTAATTTCAAGAAGAATTTGAATTATTAATAATTTGCAAAAATCTAAGTTTTTTAAATTTCTAATTTAATTTATTAAAAATTGAAATTTTATAAAATTAAAAAAAAATTTTTTTTTTAAATTCTGAATTTTTTTATGAATTCTAAAAATTTAATTTTTTTTAGCATTTCGTGAATCTTCTGTCTCAGAATATATTATTGTGGTTATAATAGTAATAATCTATATATTCCAATTCATATTTTTTATTTTTATAAAAAATAAAAAATTTTTAAATTCAATTTTTTTTAAAATTGCTAATTTTATTTAAAAAAGTATGTATGTAAGAAGTTATACATCACTGAAAAGAGCAAAAAAAGAACCTTTCAAAAACTTAGAGGTCAAAACTTTATTGAAATCTGTTGTATAATAGTAAAAAACTTTCAAAAATCTACTGTTCCGGAAACCTGTCTATTAACCTCAAGGTTGATATTATTTTTTAATTTTCTTACTCTTATATGTATGGGGCAAAATTATTCAAGTGTATTAACTTGAATAATTAAATTATTCAAATTGATACACTTGAATAAATTTTGCCCTATACATATGGAAGTAGATTTTTTCAGTAACTTTTGAATCTGACTTTATATACTGCTGATAACTGAAATAAGACTACAAGATTTCAGGAGAATCCGGTAAAATGATTCAGCAATCCAAGGCACATCATTTTTTCTATATATATATGTATATATATACAGAATGGAAGAGTTAAGTTTTATTATTACGAATCGCTTATTTCAGTGACGTGAGCTAATGCTCTGGAAATTGTTGAGTTTAAAAGTGAAACTAACTCAGTTTCAAGAATAACAACACAGTGACTCATTATTGACACTAAGCAGTTAAAGTCTTTTTTAACAATTATATAGAAAATTTTTATTATTTCGTTAATATCTATTAACGATAAAATTCTGATAACGAAATAAATGTTTTATAGTAATTTTTATTCTTTTTTTTTCGTAAAATAAATCGTTTCAATGAAAAAAGAAAAAGCAGGACGAATGACGTCATCTTCTAAAAGATGACACACGTACAATTCTCTTTCATTTCTGAACTCTTAACAAACTACTAATAATTACTTGCATTGTATTTTATTCTATTCATATCCTTTCAATCAATGTTTTTTCCTCTTAAAAAGATTAATGGTAATAACAATTCCGGAAAATTCCTTGTAGACTCAAAATTTTAATTTTTACTATTTATAAATAATTAAAAAATGGTAATTCAAAAAATAAATAACAATTTTTTAGTGTAACTAGAAAACAATCAAGAATTTAAAAAATAAAATTATTTTTAATGTTTTCAGAACATTAGAAGTTTTAGAAATGATAATGCATTTCCTGCCCACTGGGAACCTGACGCACCGAAATCTAATACGCTAACCAGTACGCCAAGCTTACTAGAGAGCCTAAGGACAAAAATTATTTTATAAGCTGCAACTAAGATAAATAAAAGTTTATCATTTAAAAAAATTCTATAAATAATATAACCTTCATTATTTTTCAGTTTCTTTATTGCAACTGAATTAGTTCATTACTTTGAGGTTTAATTCTGTCACGAAGTAAAGAAGAGTTATTGTAGTTTTTGAGTATTAAATTGGCTTAGTTTTTTTCATTATATACAATTGAAAAATTCCCAAACAATTGAAATTTGGCAAAATCTTTTAAAAATAATTAAATTTTTGAAAAAAAATTAATTGTAAATAATATGAACATACTTCCTCCTAAATTTGATGAAATCGAAAAAAGTAAATTTTAAAAAATTTTAATCTTTGTTCGAAGATGATTGATTCTTAAAAAATTATGATAAAACACTTCTAAGAATTGGTTTTTAAAAACATTGTAATGCCATTTCTTGAAAATAATTGAATTTCTTAAAAGAATTTTTGTATAATTTTAAAAAACTAATTAAATTTTTGATAAATTTTAATTAGAAATTTTAAACATGATTTTTTTCAAAAATGTTAAAAATAATTCTAATATATTATTTTTTGTGTGTATTTGAATTTTCGGAAATATGTAATATTGAAAATACTGAAAGTATTGTATTTTAAAAAAATTGGAAGCTAATTTTCATTTTTAATTTGCAATTAAAATTCTTCAAAATTTGATTTTCAAAAATTGGAACAATATTCATGAAAAAATTAATTATTTTCAATTCAATTTTAGAAAATTTCAATTATTCAAAAAGATTTTTATTATAGTTTTCATTTTTACATTCCATGCTTACCTTCCAGCGGATATTTTGTTATCACAGTAAGATCACTGTAATGTTACTAAAATAGTATTTGAGAAATATTAAGGCGCATATACTTAATTCAATATAAACACTTTCATATTTCATTACCTTTATCATTTTTTAGAATTATGAATATACAGTGTTATAATTATATTTTAAACTCTACACACAATTATTTATAGAAAATATAATAGCTACCTCGCATGTAGGTAGCATTAGTATACTGTTCGTGACAATCATGATAACAAAAATTGACTTTCAATTAAAATCGAGGTATCCTACAATAAAATTTCTTAAGGAATATTTTAAAACAATTATTTAGAGAAAATTTTTTAAAGATGGAGGAAAAAATTAATAAAAAGGAAATGTAAATTTATACTCTCTTATCAATTATTATTCATCAACAATGTTTGATGCATTCAATTTGAAAACGATTCCTATCATAAACTGCCAATGAAGGGAATTTTTAAATAATTATTCCTGCTATTTAAAAAAACCCAACTTTATTTACTATTAGTGGGTTTTAAAAGAAAAATTTCTCAACATTTCAATGATAAGAAATTTTTTTTTAAATAATACACTGAAAAAAATGTATTTGATTCAAATAACCAATTAATTGATTATTACAAATAAATGTTTACTTGAATCAAATAACATTTATTGCAGTCAATTAAATGGTATTTGAACCAATAATTTCAGTATTTTAAGCAAATGCCATTTAATTGACTCCAATAAATATATATTATTTAATTCAATTAAATATTTGATTGATAATAGTCAATTAATCGGTTATTTGAGGGGGATCAAAGTTCACATTGACCCAGTAAAAAATCTTTTATATTTTTGTTTACCCCGCCACTTTCAAATTTTGCACCACTGTTTTATTTAATTTTAAAGAGATTTGTTGTCAAAGAATTATTTTTAATAGTACAAGCTTTGGATATTATGACTTTTTCGACTGTTTTAAAAAAATTGCTTCATTTTCGACTTTCCTTCCAAATATTGCAACAAAATACCATATTTTTAGTATAAAATGCATCTCATTTCAATTTTTATAGTGATAAAAATAACTATAGACAAACTTTCAAAATTATATTTTTAAATAATTTTTTGACGATAATAAAATTTTAAAAATATATACA